ATCAAACATTTCAGACTAGCTTGAATCCAAAGAGTATCAGTACACTTAACACATCAGTGTGTGGTATTATGTAACAATAAAAGTGATACCAATTTTAACTCATCCTTCGTTTTACATCCATGGTTCGCTTCCCGTTGCAGTGAAATCGCCATCTACACTTTGGACCCGTGGTTGCGCTGTTCGAGTGACGGATACATTCCGCTATAATAGACTAGACCTTTATCATTCCGCTATAATAGTGACGGATACATTCCGCTATAATAGTGACGGATGCATTCCGCTATAAAAGTGACGGATACATTCCGCTATAATAGAGACGGATACATTCCGCTATAATAGAGACGGATACATTCCGTTATTCGAATAAAAGTATCTCAATAGTTGACGGTGGATACTTTGGGGTAGCTCACTTTCTTCTAGTCTATTAGTTTAAAGATTACATACTGAGGATAGTTCTCGTGCGTAGCTCAGAAAGAAATTCAACAAACAGATAAACATTTCTCGTCAGAAAAATGTGGGCAACATTTCAACCTCACTTGATCAATTGTTCGTCGCTAGTGAGGCCAGTTAATTAGGATGTGATTTAAATTATCATCCCTTTATTATTGTGGTTAGTATCACGACACAAATTTATCAGGTAATGGATCGCCCGTCGCCAGCGTCATAACACAGGTATATGTTTGTATCTCGTAAATTACTAGTAATACCAAAATACTGTTTACATAGCGGTAAGTCTGAAGGCTTATAACACCTAAAAGCTGGTTTCAATACCCGCAGTGGTCAGTGAATAGATAGCCCATTGTGTAGCATTGGGCTTAAACAACAGACAAATGAACCTCGGTCATTTATCTTTGCCTAACAATTTGCAGTGCCATCTCTTGGTGTGTTATATAAACGCCAATTATTACTATATATATTTTTTTTTGACAAAGTTTTATAATTATCTTCAGACAGCAAATTTTATTACACAGAAAAGAAAAGCCAATCAAAGTAAAGAAGGATAGATATTAGATATATCTTTTCTGGTGTTTTCTCTATTATTTAACGGATTGGTTATAAAGGTTTCTTCATAGTGAAAATAGGCTGTTATTAGAATCACCTAGAAGAACTGAAAGCGAGTCGATAATATGCCGACAATGAAATGAGACCTTACTCTAGAATTGCAATATTGAACGGGAAATTATAAAATCGTTTTGATTTGATTCAAACGTCTACTGTAGCAAATCGACTTTATCTGACGCTGCTAATCCACCCATACCTATATTATTACTATTTAAAATGAAGATTGTTTTATTATTAAAAATTATTCAAATTATGTGATGTTTTAGATTTTGTCGAGAGATTTTTCGCTGCTTTATATCTACATTATAATCGTTGGATTGAACTGGCTTGCTGTCATTTAGACAGACGTATACATAGATGCGTTTGTTCGTGTCAATGGTGTAATTCATCACGGTGTTCGTTATTTAATAATAAAGAAAAACACGAACATAATTACGTGAAGCATTTATTAAACGTTTCTTCAGTTCGTGTTTTTCTTCATTATTAAATAACGCTTTCCGAAAAATGAATAGATTACTTTATATTTTTATTCTAGTAATAATTCACAGATGGCGCTTTTTGAAGGCCATCGATATTTTACAGGACTACCGAAAATACTATTTCTTCAAAACTAGTTTGTCGTTCCACTTAAAGAGTCACACTGATTTGCATATAACGCTTATCAGTATACAAAACATATTTAGAATAAATGGCGTTTTAAATACCCAAAATGTATTCTT